AGTGAATGGCTTACACTCCGGGACCCCCGCAGCCCCGAACACGTGTTGTGACGTCTGTACGTATATGAGTGCACCCCTGGCGCGGGGCGGGGGCGGCTGCCTACCATCGGATTTAGCGAAGGAACCCGGAGCCTGTGAATTAGGCGCCACTGCCACCTGGTGGACACACATCCGAGTTAGATCTTCAGGGTTTATGCGTACGGTTCTGTTTTTTTTGAAGGATGAAGGAAATCCCCTCTGAAGTCGAAGACTGGAACCTTCCGTTGTGAAGCGTCAGAACACGTGGGCGGGGAAAGGAGGCAGTGAGCGTCAGGTCTGGGGCGGGGGGTGGGGGACACTTTCCAAAGCTGCTTGATTGTGGCCTTCACAGGTCTGCGGTCGCTTATTTGAAATGTTTTGAATTCCCCCAATATCGGATACACTCAAAGTGCAAGACCCACGAGGTCTACCCACACTGCATTCAAGGCACGAGTTACTTGTACTCTGTACATTTGGAATTGTCTGTTTCATTCTTTGTCTCCACTCAGATGTCAGGTCGCTTTCAGTGAGCCTGTTTGTTCAGTTTAAACTCAAGTGCAGGTGACGATGACTTGACTCCACATTTCCACCCTTGAGCTCTGAAAAAGCCTGGAGGGAGCCCAGCTCAGCAGAAGTAACCCAGCGAAGACTCTATTTCCTCCCCTCTGGAAAACAGCAGTCCTCCACACCAGTGTCACCTGTGCTTCAGAAAATCAGAAATGTGTAAAATGAATGTCCCTTTGCTCTAGAGAGCCTCGCATTCCCCAGTTTATACTTTGTGACTTCAGGTTTCTCCAGGCCTTTGGGCTTACCCTTTGCTAAATGAAGAGTGTCTATCACAGATTTGGCCCAGTGATCTCTAATTTACAAAAGTTCCTCCATTAAATGCTTTGAAATGAAAAACCAAGTAGGAGAGACGTAATACGTGGCCCACGTTAGACAGCAGGCACCCGGCAAGGACGAAACGTGACCGGAGACCTCTCTGAATGAAACTAACAGACTCTCATGGAGCTTGTCCGCAGCCTGTTGGGATGCCAGGCTGCTCTCCAGACCCCTGACGTCTCTGTAACCCTGCTCCCTCTCACATGGCTTCTTGATAAACTTCCCAGGACACCGGCGTATTCCAGTTCATCTCAGGAACTCAGAGCAAGAAAGGTTCTCAGACAAGATGGCATGAAATCATCCTGTTCTTTTTCTTCTGTGTTATGCGTGAGTAAGTTTGGTGCAGAAGGAGGAAGGCTGAGCCAGGCGGGAGGATTTAGGGATTTTCAGCCTGTGGTTTCAGGAAGCAGAAGTCTTAATTTTTAGAGCTGCTCTGTCAGGCACTTTACAGCTTCCTCTTCTGACTCTTAAGCGCCATAAATCTCCAGACTGCTGGTCTCCAAACGCACACGTAAACAGTCTTGCACACCAGCAGCCAGTTGCTCCAGAACAAAGCCAGGGACTGAGTGACCCGTAAGCAAGGCACACGTTAGGGCCTCAGCTGTTCAAGCACTGTCCATCCAGATGCAGGAGCGGCCCTGGGTGTCTGAGGCAGAGGGCCGCACTTCCAGGTCACGGAGCCTGGGTGGACAGGGACGTCTGATGGGGCAGAACTTCCTAGTGCAGTGGGCCTGCCCTGGGTCTAGTGGCCTCTGCGTGCAGGCAGCCCTGACAGTAGGTCACCTGAGGTGGCTGTGATGAAGTTGGGGCCCCTGGACAGCACCCTTGGGGGGACTGAAGACTGGCTGTGTGCCAGGCGCTGGCTCACTGGTGATGGTGGTTAAACTCTGTGAAGAAATGGTGCTCTCGAGCCTGTCTCTGTCGGCTTGGGGGGTGAGAGCCTCTATCTGAGCACACATCGCAGACTTTCCTAGGGTTCCTGTTGGATGGGGACAAAGTAAACAGAGGAGAACCTCAGAAGTAAGGAAAGGTCTTACTGTGTATGGCAGGGGACTGCAATTTTTTTTTATGTAAAGGGCCAGATAGTAATTATTTTAAGCTTTGTGGACTATACAGCCTGCTTCAACTACACAGCCTCCCCATGGCACAGAAGCCCCACACCTGGATTGGATGAGTAGGCCTGGCTGTGTTCCAGTAAAATTTAAATTACAAAAAGCCATGGTGGTGAGATTTGGCCTTCAGGCCTAAGCTGCTGATCCCTGGAATAGGGGAAGGAGGAGAGATGTTGCCGCAAGACCCCAAACCTAACCCTTCTGCCATGCCCAGATCCGTGACCTTGGGCAAGCTATTTATATCTGAGCCTGTTTCCTCGGTAAAAAGGGGTTGGCGGTATCTCCCACTTAGAGTAGTGACAATGTGTGCAAAACTCCTAGCACACCACGTGGCACAGAGTGGATGGCAGTAAAACAAGGCTTTTCATCCCAGTGCGGACAGTTCTTGGGGAGGCTGGCTGTAAGCGGTCTGATGCTCTGTTGCTCTCATGGTCTCTGATGGTTATCTTTTGCCTCATTTGTTGGACCCGACTCAGAGTGAGCTAAGTGTCTCTCACTCCATCTGTATTCTAAAAGGAGGTCGTTCCAAACTCACTGACATGTTATTTCAAACTGTCTGGCAGCATCCAGAGCTGTGTGGAGCCCCCTGGCAATTTCACTGCACCAGAACACTGCCTACCCTAAAATTTTAGAATTACAATGGAATCCAAAACAGATGTACCAAATCTGGGGAGGGCTAGAGCAACATTAATTTGTTCCTTGGGAATGCCCTGCATAAGCACATTTTCGAGCAGACATTTGTGATAAGAGCCAGGCAATAAAAGATCCCAGTGTGTTCTAAACACTGCAATTTTGGCAATTTGTGTCAAAGAAAATTTGGAAGGCATGGGTAACTGAATCAGAACTGACTCAATTTATGTCTCAACTTTTCACTAAAATGTCTGTGTTTGGAAGATGTCACTGATCTGAGATGTGAGAATTTGGGTGGAAAATAATTAGTGTTCAGTTGGGTGGAACTCTTAGCTGTGACACTGATCAGTACTTAGTCATGTAGAATATGAACTGAGGCCAAGCTGTGCTTGGGTCTCTGTCAGGGCAAGTTCTTCACACGGATGAGCAGGAGCTGCACAATGCCTGCCGTCCTGTGCACTGCAAGGCCCAGGAAATAGAGGTGGGGCAGTTACGAACGCTGTTTATAAATATCTATAAACCAGAACAAGAGGAAGACAGTGCTCTCTTCCTATCAGAACTTGCGTCTTTGATCAGTAAGAAAGCTGGGCAGGGACGATCAGAGCTGGGTGGAGCTGGCTTCAAAGCTCTCATGAAGATGCTGTTGGATTGAAGTAGTTTTTAATACATTCTGGATATTCATCCTTCATCAGGTATATGATTTGCAAGTATTTTCTCCCAGTCTGTAGATTTTCTTTTCACTTTCTTAATTATGTCTCTTGTACAGGTTTTTAACTTTTATCAAGTCTCATTTATGTATTTTTTTCTTTTATTGCTTTGGTATCATATTTAAGAATTAATTGCCAAATCCAAGGTTGTGAGTATTTATCTTTGTGTTTTCTTCTAGGAGCTTTATGTTTTGGCCCTTAGACTTAGATCATTAATTTACTTGGAGTTAGTTTTTGTGTATAGCGGGAGGTAGGGTCCAAATTCATCCTTTTGCAAGTGGACTTCCGTAGGGGGGTTGTCATTGTCCCCCTTTCTAAACAAATGAGAAAACAATCAGGCCTCCACAGAGAGAAACGACAGTCCAGTGACTCCAGGCCCTCGGCGCCCCTCCTGTTGCTCTCGGCCTCCTCCCGAGGGCTGTGAGGGGCCAAGACGAAATCGAGCCCCAGCTCGGGGGAGGGGAGACGTCAGGCTGTCTGCAGGAGGGTGGCCGCACATGGCCTTTGCCACCAATGCAGAGTTTTTACGCGAGGCGTGAGCCCTTGTTGCAGAGAGTCCGGGGGAGTGAGCGCAGCCCTGGCCTGCTGCCCCTGTTGCCGGTGTTTCTGAACAGCCTTCCGCTCCTGTGGAGCCAGGGTCTGCACACGCAGCCCCAGCGGGGGGTGGTGGGGAGGATGGCCGTGGGGGAGGAAGGGGGGCCTTCCGAAGGTGCTAATTGGCCAAAATGGGGCAATTCCATGGAAGCTGTTAATCCCTGAGATGCCCAACAGGATTGAAATTTTAGGAGATCAGATTTAAATCCACTCAATAGCTGTTTGCTTCTGGGAAAATTATTTAACCTTTCTAAACCTCACTTCTTCATGGAAGGGTCCGGGCTGGGGGGTGGGAGCAGAGCCCGCCCCCGCAGACGCGGCGTGGGCGGCGAGCGCCCAGTGAGGTGATGCGCTGCTGCGCCGACAGGCGTTCCCGCGTGGTGCTTGGTGCCGAGGGGCCTCCAGGGGCCACGGGAGACAGGACTGGGTTGAGACAGCCTCCCCAGGTCCAGGGCGGAAGGTCACCAATCGCTAGTAATTCTGCTTAATGGAAAGCGCTTCAGAGTACACGGCTGGACCTCCCAGAGGGTGGCCCACGTGGACGTGTCTGCAGCATTGGGGAAGCGTGTGAAATGTAGCCTCTCAAAGGGTGTATTTGCAGAGCAGAACTGGGCTGGCCTCCGAAGCCGGGCCGTAGCTGAGACACCTGTGGACCAGGCACTGGATGCGCCGGACGAGCTTTGCTGGAAGAACAGCTGCTGCCCAAGGGCCAGGTCCTCAGAGCGCCACCTGTGGGCGAATAGCCAGGCTGCGCGCTCGCGCTGCTGAGAGCACGCAGCAGCTGGAGTCCCACCTCCGTGCACGGCTGGCGTTAAAACTCGCCGGCGTCTGCTGGCAGGGAGGAGCTGGCGTGTGGGTGTTGGATGGCAGACCCTTGAGGTTAGTCCCTTGTCTGGCCCTGCTTCCTCTGCTGTCTCCTCAGGTGGAGGGAGGTGGTAATGGACCAGCCACAGCTCTGCAAGGCTGGGCACACGGCCTCTGCTTAGTACAGACCGTCTGATAAGAGAGAGTTGTATTTTATTTATCTTGAGTTTCCATAAAACTTGAAGATGTGGACAAGGACCATATTGGGACCAGCAGGTAAACCTGTAAGAATATGTAACATACATGCGTGTGACTGTGCACGTGTGTGAGAGTGAACAGGACAGAAGCAGCGGAGAAGTGCTTTTGTCAGTCACATTTGCAAAGCCCAGTAGCGTCCTTCTGACCACCAGCTGTTACTTGGACCTTCCGTGGACAGCTCAACTCTGATGACCCTTCCCCTGTGTGATGCCACCTGACCCCTTGACTCTGCATTCACGGCCCTGTCTGGGTTCTCACCTCTTCGCCGTGTGTCAGCCCCACTCCCACCTGCTTTCCCATGGCACCAAACCTCTAGTGGTTTCCTGGGAGAGGCACAGCTTCACATCTCTCTCCTTTTCTGTGCTTTCCTCTCTGCCTGGAAAGCCCTCCTCCGTGTCTGTGTCTGTAGCACTGGTCATGGCGCCTGTTTCCTCTTTGCCGTGAACTGAACAGTGTCACAGTTCTCCTTGGTACTTGGTACCTAGCAGATGAGTGCCCCGGGAGCACACAGAACACGTGCGCTAGCAGATCTCCAGGCTGGTTTCCCTAGTCCCTCACCTCCTTAGCACTCGGTTTGGTTCACGGAAGGACAGGATCCTGTCTAGCTCACCTGTATGAGCTACCCACTGTGGACAGAATAAGTTCTCAACTAATATTTGTCATTTTGGAAAAAAAAACCCTTCAAGGCAACCAGGCTAGTGCCTGGAGTAAGGTGAAGACCTGATACATGTTGAACAATGATGAAGAAAAGCCAGCCTGTGAAGGAGTCACAGAGGTCACCAAGTGATGCTCTCTTTTCTGGGCTAAGACCCCTGCCAGGAGCAGCAAGCAGGTGCTCTTCATGGCGGCTGCGCCACAGTGTGTTGCAGGTCTTCCAAGTAAAGTGCTGAACTTCAAGGTTATATTTTCAGAAAAGGCAGCTTTTATGTATAGGGTTTTGTGTTTAAGTGTATTGACTGAGTTTCAAATTAGAAAAAAACCGCACAGTGGATTAACAGATAGGGCATTACACAATACTTAGTGTGAATGCTGCTAGGACACTGGCCTGAAAGTTAGGCTGAATCCTCTTTGTCACCTCTCATACATTACATCGTTGTGAAGCATATGACCGGAAAAGAGCTGTTTGTAGCACAGGGGGAAAAAATGACTGCTCTTGGAAAATCTGAAATTTCACACCCCTGAGGTGCACTCCTAACACTCTTCCCTGTGACAAACACATCGGACCGAGATCCTTCTTGACCATGTGTAATTGTGACCTGCCGGGTGAAGCTGACCTACTTTTCATCTGATTCTGCAAAACCACTTGTTTAGAACGTGGTCTGTACCAGACAAGAAGCACATCTCTGCATGAGTCCAGCTGTGCTCCTGGGACATGCTTTGAAATAAGGATAAATGTTCGGTTTATGAAGAGGAAGACAAGCGTAGTTCAGCAAAATAGAACTTACACATCTTCTGTAACTCCACTGCTTACTAGTAACTCACATTTCCTTGCCAGGTTATTGTCTTACGAACCAGAGAAGGAGGCAGCTTCCGTTTACGCTGAGTTCCGAGGCCCGCGAGCATGGCTGTCGTGGTGTGGATGCCGCGGCGGGCTTATGCTTGGCGTCAGCCCATGTGACTGAGTCTAAAGGGGGTGCAGCAGTCGGCGCGTGAGGTCTGCTACCGAAGTCCTTCCCAGAGCCCTGAGGGCCCGGGGAGGAGCGGTTTTCTGGGTCATCCGGGGGTCCTTTAAGTCAGGAAATGGAAGTAGGTTTAGTCACGAGAAGGACACAGTGAGGGAAATGTGAGGGAAAGTGGTTTACCTTAGGAGGAAATCCCCGAGGTCCGGATGGCAGGTGGGGGGGATTGAGGGGGAGGAGGTGACCGAGGAGCTTGTCTCAGCGGAGCCGCAGGGCGGCCTCAGCCTCCTTCCCAGCAGGCCTGGTGCGGCTGTGATGCATTCGTCCAGAATTTCATGGAAAAGCAAGGCCACGTCTCCAGCCCTTCCGTGGTTTGCAGGGTGGTCTAGGGAGGAGAGTCGCAGGCATGGCCTTCAAGAAGGGGGAAGGTGAAGCAATGACCACGGAGAGCGTGAGCCACAGGCTGCACACCGATGGTGGAGAGGAGGAGCATCTCTGGGATTCTTTTAAATGAAGGGAAAAGCCGGCCACAGTGATACTCAGAAAAGAAAGGCAGACAGACGTAAATGGACCAGGTATCAGACTCAGACTGTGAGGAGTGACAACTGGGAAGTAACTGTTTTGAGAGGAGGTAAGAACATTGTAAAGGAGTCACCAGCTCATTTCAGCTCAGCCTGCAAGGCTGACGAGCCGCCCCTCAGATGCCCCTGCGCACGTCTGACAGGTGGTAGGTGACAAGCTTCACTTGGGATTGGCAGCAACGAAAGGTTCCATCCTTACCAGTTTTGCAAAATTATCGTGAGGCAGCAGCAAACAGCACAGAACCGAAAAAGCCTTTTGTCCCCCTTCGTTCCAGAGATGAAGTGTGGTTTGTGGGAAAGAGGCCGTGGGGGCAGCAAGCTCGTTTCTTTTCCTGGGGTGGGAGGTGGCAGCCCCCTTCCGCGCGGGGCTGGTGGAGGAGGGCAGCGGCTTCGTGTGGACGGAGGGCCGAGAAGGGGGCTGGCTTCATGCTCGCTGGGCCTCAGCGGTCTCACCACGGACGGGACTGGTGGGCGCTCCCGGGGCCCTCGGAGGGCCCAGCAGGGGTGCCGCCGTGTTTCATGGAGAGCCACGTGACAGGGCGATCGCCGTGCCTCCTGGATGTCCTCTAGTTGAAGCCGCATCTAAGGCAGCTTACTGCGTAATCCAGGTGTGTGAGGTCAGGGTTTTGTGGAAATCCACGCTAACCCCAGGAGATCTGGCCCCAATCCACGGCTGACCTTGCTGAACGTTTCTGGGAGGCAGATGTAGGTCTGAGGTCCGTTTGTGGGGTTTGCTCTAAAATGTGACATTTATTTGCACCTGGATGTCACTTGCTCTCAGCCCAGAGCCGACTCTTCTCTGAGGCCTCAAGTGGGACCCGCTGCCGGGTTTCCCGTCCCACGGCGAGTGTGACTCCTGCCACAACCAAGTGAGAGGAGACGTTTCTTCCAGGACGTTAAGATGCAGACCAGGAGGGTCACACCCTCCCCTAAGCCTGAGTGTCTTTTCTTTGAGAGGACTTCCGTTCTGTTTCCACTGGGAATGAGGTGTCCTCTTCCTGCGGACACGTTGGGTTGTGCTCGTCCAGGAGCTCCTGGACGGGCGTATTTGCAGCTGAGATGGATGGCAGCACCCGGGCTTCAGTGGTTTTTAATTCACTGAGTCTGATGATCCTGTAGCAATCGGGAAGATCTGATAAAGTGTATTGCCTCCCTCTCCCTCCAAACCCTCGGGGAGGAAGTCAGAAATCATACCAGTCTTTAAAAAGGCTGCAGACAACCCTTTCTGATGGCCTCTGAACGCCTGCTGAGTCAGCGCCCCGCCGGCCTGTCCCAGCAGCCAGCCCCTGGGCGTGAGCCGCTGCAGGGCTGCGGTGCATGGTGGAGGTGTCCCCTGCTGCCAGGCGGCGGGTGCATGCCCTGCAGGCCTGTTCCGGCTCCGAGGGGCCTCGAGGCCGTGGAGCCAAGGCTGCAGTGAGGATTCACTTCCTGCAGCTGCTGCTCCAGGTGCACAGACGAGCTGGTGGAAGACGACAGAAATTCATCCTTGGATCTGGAGGCTGAAGTTCAGAAAGCAGGCATCAGTGGGGCCTCGCTCCCTCAGAGGCTGCAGGGACGACCCTTCTCAGCCTCTTCCAGCTGCTGCTGGTCACCGGCACGGTCCTGTGGCTGCAGCACTGTGGCCTCTGCCTCCTGCTTCCTCCGGACTTCGCCTCTCTGTGTCTGCCTCCAAATCCCCCTCTTCTTAGTAGGACCCTATCTTTGGATCAGGGCTCATTCTAATGCAGTGAGACCTCATCTTCACTGGATTGTCTCTGTAGAGATCCTATTTCCCAGTATGGCCACTGTCTGAGGTTCTGGGTGTTGTGCGTGTGGGAGAACAGCACTCAGCCCATCACACAGTGCTCCCCAGCCGAGCGAGAGGCCGGCAGGCTCAGCGCTTCCAGCCGAGAGTCGCACCCACGGCCACAGGGGCGGTGGCGGGGAGGACGCTGCCTTCCTGTCCTCGCCCGAGGCACAAAACGTGCTTTGGTGCTAATGTCGCGTGGGTGAATTATGTAATGTGTGTTGAGAGCTTACCATGCCTGCTGCTTTGGTTGTCAAACGTGGAGGGCGCAGCGGGGCATGAAACACAGTCCTTGGCCTGAGTGGGTTTTCACCATTTCCCCTAATGATCTTCCTTCAGCAGAACAGGGAAACCAGCAGGGACGGAGCTGTTCTTTGATGGTTCCCCAGTTACATTTGTGGTTTGGTCACCCGTGGCCAGAAAAAAAGAAATCCTCGTTAATAATTTTTTAAAAATATTCATTGTGAATGCACACACACTTGGGGTTGGGTGGGCTCCAGGCCCACTTTCCGTTGCTGTTTTTCAACCATCCCCCGGGCCCTTCTGGGCTGCGAGCGTCCCTCGGAGGAAAGTGGGAAAGTGGCGCTGTCCGTGACCACAAATGTCCACGCGCTGCCTGCCGGATCTTTCGAAGAGTCTTTTGAGAAGTTAAAGCAATGTTTTGTTCATTGTGATCAAGAGTTTCTCCGTTTGAGTGCAGACCACCCACCATGATTCATACTGAGGTTACTCAGGAAAAAAAGAAGCAAGATGGAAAAAACCAATTCACTGCTGCCGATGAGCGCGTGTGGGGAGCCGCACGGCAGCAGCGCCGTGGCTTTGCCGTGACTCACTGCTGACTCACCGCCTTCATTCTCTTCTTGCTGCTTAAATTATGTTCTCAAAGGCCGGCTCCTTGGAGGCGTCAGGTCCACACTGCTGGCAGCATTCACAGCCTGTGACATTTCAAGGTGAAGTGACAGAGCAATACTTAACACATGGCGAATTTGGAATAACCCGTTTGGATGATGGATCCCTTTCCTTTCAGTACAGTAACAGTCTCTTATATTTCTCTGAGATGTTTTCTTCTTGTTAACAATCAAGTGATGACCATATTATGGTCAGTGTAACTTGCAAATGGCTGTGAAATTAAATGCTCGTCTTGTGACTGTTCCGATAGTAGTAAGTCTGGACCATTCTTGCTGCTACAGAGGAAACAAGGCGAGATGGAAAGTGAGCCGTAGGCATCTCGCCCCTCTTTCTGCTTAGGACAGGTGCTCCAGAGGCCAGGATCCCAGGCTGAGCTTTCCCATGGGCGCCATGACTGCATGTCCCCTATTTTCTGGGGCAGTCATAATTTCAGATATTCTGTTCTGTTATTTTCATCATTCAGTTTTGGTCTTCTGGGAGAGTTACCAGTGTGACCTGTGTCCTTAGCTGCACACAGTAGCCCTATTTGGTGCTCTGATGAATTCAGGAGTCGACCTTCCCCCAGCATCTAAATCCAGAGTCCAGTGGTCCACATGGCCCAAGGCTGCAGGCACTGGCCAGCAGCGTTAGCATTCACACAGAGAAGCAGCTGGCCAGGGTCCTAGGTTCCCTTGTCCACTTGGAGAAAAGGAGAGGTTGCAGAGCATGGCTGAGCCTCTCAGTGTCCTGTAACCTGGGCTTCCAGGACACGCAGCATCAGGGAATTCTGACCAGCCGGATGGGCAGCCCACCTCCTCTGTGGATGAGCAGAGGTTGGCCTGATACAGGTGGTAGCGGAAGCCCCAAGGGGCAGGAAGGAAGCAGACCGAAGGAGAAGCAGTTCACTGGGGGATCGAGGAGGAGAAGGACACCCATGCTGAGGAAGTGACGTGAGTTCCGTCATGGAGCCATGACATTGTGCATTAGAGAATGAAGGTGGCCAGGATACGGGCTATTGTTTCAGTTCGCTGGGGCTGCCATACCGAGAATTTCAGACTGGAGACTTAAACAGTGAACCTTTTCACTCCCAGTCTGGAGCCTGGAAGTTCAAGATCAGCGTTTCGGCAGGGGTGGTTCCTTCCAAGGGCCGTGAAGGAGCGTCTGTTCCATGCACCTTTTTTTAGCTTCTGGTGGTTTCCTGACATCTCTGATGACCCTTCGCTTATCGGTGTATCGCCTCGATCTCTGCCTCCTTCACATCCTCTTCCCTTCGTGCTTACCTGTCTCTGTGTCCAGATTTCCCTTGTGTAAGGACACCTGTCCTGTTGGATTGGGATCCACCCTAATGACCTCATTTAAACTTTGTTAGCTGCGTGAAGACCCTGTCTCCAAATGAGGTCACGTTCTGAGGTACTGGGAGTGAGGGCGCCAACACACCATTTTGGGGGGATACAGCTCAGCCCCTAACAGGAGTATAAGAAAAGTTCGGGATGTCCCAGGAAAGACTGGAGGTACGGCTTTATATTCTGTGCTGAGAAGTTCAGAGTTTGTAGCGAAGGTCTGGAAACCAAGTAAAGCTTTTAAGCAGAAGGATGGCACGGTTGCATCGGTGTTTTAGGGAACAGCCCTGGCGCTGCAGATTGAGCCGGAGCAAGGAGAGGAGATGGCAGCTGTTTAACGTAGAGCCCAAGTGCGGAGCATCCAGATGTGGCAACAGCTGTGGGAGAAGGGGGAGCAAATTTTGAGGTTTGGAAAGGGGATTGATAGAGCCTGGTACCCATCAGGTGAAGAAGTATAGCAAGACTGAGCTTCTGATAAGAAGTCCTGCCGGCAGACAGCCCTCGGACGCAGCCCGCAGAGGCAGCTCTCCCCGGGTCCTGGGGCTCCTGGGCTCCCCTGCAGATCTGGGGCTCGCCGGCCTCCATGGCCGGGGGAGCCCATTCCCTAAGACAAGCCTCTCTCTATGCTCGCGTCCTGCTGGTTCTGTTTCTCTGCCCTGGTCAGTACGACATCATCCTGATTGGTCTTAAATGTTGTTCTGTTTTCTCAACCCAAAACGAGGCCATAAATTTGAAGGATTAGATTGAAAGGAAAGATGTTAAGCAGTATGTTTAAAAAAGAAAAGGGTTAAAAATACGTATTGTGTGCTAGGACATCTTGGCACCAGCCAGTGACACTCGTCCCGTCTTTTCCTTCCTGCAGCTCGGAGCCACTCCCATGGCTGATGCCTGGGACCCGGGTGGGGGGTCGAGCTGCTGACGGATCCTCGAGCTGAAAACAGGATGAAGGGCTCATGTCGCCTGCTCTGCCCACCAGGGGCGGGGCTGGTGCAGTGTCTGTGTCCCTGTCGTCTTTGGGCTGTGACTGTCACGAGAAGAGGCGGGCCAGAAAGCAGCACGTCGGTCATTGAGCATTTCCAAGAAAAAGGCCTCAAAATGAAGAGGAGTGGCAGGTGTATCAGCTGGAAAGAGGGTATGGTTAGGTGCAGTGAGGTGCAGTGGGGCCTGCCTGGGGAGACATGCGAGCCACAACGCAGTGTGCGCCCAGCGCAGTGAGAATCCTGCTGGATGTGGGCATGGCCGTCGGAGGGCCCTGAGGGTGAGAAGGAACCGCGTGCCACCTCCGCGGCCTTGAAACCTGCTTGTCCTCGGCACAGAGCATCGCAGGCCCAGGGAAGGCCCAAGCAGGCTGCTTCCTCTCTGCCTAGGGTCTCGAGTACCTGCGCCAGCTTCACTGGTCCAGGGAAAGATCAGAGCTCTTGGCACCTTCATTCGGAGCATCTTTCAGGTAGCTAAGGGTAATGATGATTCATTCATTTATTTTCTTAAAATTCTGGATAGTTTTGGAAAGGCCGGGAAAACCTACCACAATGTTCACAGTCACGCAGTTGATGGAGGGGCACACACAGCGGTGTGCCGTGTAAGGCTGCCCCCGTGCAGCCTTGCATGCATGGCCCGGGCGCTGTTTATGGCTGGTCATTATTTCTTCTTTCTGCTCATGTGAATTTTCTTCAGTGAAATGTGTTAATTTGTAATAAGGAAAATGTATAATCTTCTCAAAGATCAGAAAGAAGCTTAAATTGTTGACAGAACCTTGAAGCGTGTCTGTTTCTGCAATCTCAGCGTGAGAGGATTCATCTAAGACAGAAAGTCGTGTGCAGACGTGTGGATAGCTGCCCCTGGGCCCGGGGCCCGGGAGAATCGTTTCCCTTCCTGTTTTGCTTGGTGAATTGGCCAGTCCGAGAGGAGTCAGACGGACAGGCGATTGTGAACAGCAGGGAGAGGAGGCGCCCGCAGTGGACTAGGCATGTCGCCTGTGGAGTCCGCAGGTGTCGATGTGGAGCACGTTGTCAAGACATCCTTCACGTCTGTTGCAGCCACAGAGTGGAGTGCCTCCCCTGACTATAAACATACCTTGGTTTTACTTGAGAAGTAACAAGTGATTTAACCAAGTATCTCTTTGATAGGATGTTATAAAGTGATCTGGGTAGAGATGAAAGTGTATGACTCGCTGTTTTCAGGGGGGTGGTGTGTCGACCTCCGAGGAAGGTGGATGTCCCCCGGTGCAGCGCCCTGTCCTTTCTCTCCTGTTCTGCTCTGCCCGACCCTCCTCTCGACATCGGGCCTCCTTTTCGTCATGAACAGAGGGGGGCTCAGGTTAAACAGCGTGTGGGCTGAGAAGCTCTGTGGAAGCCTCGTGCTCGGAGGCACTAAGTGCGAGTCTGGAGGCTTCAGAGTCATTGACCCGGTTCCCGTGCACAGGTGGTTCTCTGGGTGTGCAACTGAAACGTCGTCTTCAGACTCCAGGAGGCAATTGCTTGTGATCTGAGGATACAAACAGAAAATAGGCTTCTAACCAGGACATCATGAGAGCTGGTGGTGCATTTGAGTCTAGACACAATGGAAGCCTTTCACATGTCAGGGCCATCGAAATGTCACATAATTCTTGAAGCATAATGTGTGGCTTGTTAATCCCTGCGAAGGCCTTAGTGCTCTTTGTGTGCTGAAGAAGATGGAATTGGAGCGGGGTGACAGTGAGAAGGGCCATTTGTCCAGGGCCACCCCCAGCCCCGGTCCCCGCGCTTGCCCTGCACCCCGGAGCCCGCTGGCCACAAACACCCCTGCACAGCGCGGCTCCAGGGCAGCAGGGGACCGGGCAAGCGGCCCGGCATCCTCCAGGGGTTCCAGAGATCTTCTACCGGGTTTACAGCCAGAGATGGGAAGGAGCCTTGAATGAGTTACTGCGTAACCACTATAGCAGTGTTTTCATGATTAATGCACGAAACGCTCTTACAGATCAATAAGAAAAAGGCGGTGCGGTGAGCCCGCTTCTCCAGAAAAACGGTGGAAGAGCCCACGCTCTGCACCAGCCGTGGAGCTGGGCCCCCGGCTTAGCCGCGGGCTGCTGGTGGTGCTGGTCTGAAGTGGCGGTGACTGTCAAACTTCAGACATGTTTTCACTGAAGATCTTCTGTCCCATTTTATTCGGATTCGTATCTGTCACTAAAGGTGTTTAGCCCGATACCAGCACACAGCGTGTCCCCTGCGAGGGCACAGTCGCCTTGGAGGGGCAGTGATTTTCTGCCTCTGGCTTTGTTGTTTGTTTCAGGTCTCAGCTGGGGAGAAGGTGAAAGCTACTGTTTCCTTCCTCTTGTGGCGAAGTGTTGAGCACGTCCTGCGACTCGTGCGGACGCTTTAATGTAGCAATTTCCTGTGTCTTAAAGGTAAGCTTCAAAACTCATTGAATCATAAAAGTGTTGTAACTAGAGAGAACATTCCAGTCACTTGCTTTATGTTCAGAACTGAGCCTCAGAGAAGCCGTGAGACTCACACCACGAGTCTAAATCACCGTGGGAGCTCAGGCCTCCTGTCTCCCATCCTGTTCTCTGTCTGTGCTGTCACTAGACAGAGCCTCTCTTGGGAAGATCTGCTAGAAGGTTCCATCATCTTTGCTGATGTCATTGGAAAGCAGAACTCATCTTTGGTAGAGGCAGCGTGTCTAAGACTCTCTGTTAACAAGACCAGCTCTAGGAGGGAGCAGGAGGCGGTGGTGTTGCCTGAAAGGGAAAAACACAGAGCATGAGAGCTGTGAGTTGTTTTCTTCAGGGTCTTCCTGAGAACCGTAGCCCAGAGACAGCCTCTGACGGGTACGCCACTGGCCATCGTTGGGCGGCTTGGTAAAAGGTTGCTGCTGGTCCCAAAGAACAGACGTCTCAGGTGAACGATCTTGGTGCTTTTCTGCGTATGGGAAGATGCGGGCATCTGGGGTCATTAACGTTCTTCCCAAGACGTGCGCCCAGCTGTCTACGGGGTCTGCTAGCACAGCACAGAGCGCCCTGTCACCATCCCGACTTCCTCCATCTGAGGCCCAGCGCACTGTCGGCCGGCGGCTGCGGCAGGTGCCCCCTCGCAGGACGAGGTGCTGAGCAGAGCTCTCTGCCGCTCCTCGTTCACACTGTGGACATCGAGTGTGCTGAGATGCTGTTAGGGACCCCCACAACTCAGGTGTTGAAACCTGGCCCCCTGTGTGCTGGTGTTAGGAGGTGAGGCCTGTGAGGTCATAAAGGCAGGGGCCTCATAATGGGGTTAGTGCCCTTGTGGAGGAAGCCACGGGGAGCTCCCCGGCCCTGTCAGCCACTGGAGGCCACGGCAAGAAGACAGCGTCTGCTGCTCAGAGAGGCCTTGGCCGGAACTGGCCCCCCAGCCCTGACCTCGGCTCTGGCCTCCAGACCTGGGAGAAGTGAATTCCTGTTGTTGACCAGACAGGCGTCCTGGTACTGGAGCAGCCTGAGTGGACTGAGACGGGGATGAACCATTAGGAAGTAAACGCCTTTAAATCTATGTGGAAGCGAGTCTCCAGGCTAGCAGTGTTGGAGGAGCGTTGTGTGAGCTAAGTCTCCTGCAGCGCAGGTCGTGTTGGCTGGTCTGTCTGAAGTAGAGACGCCTCGTCCAGGCTGCAGCCTGAGAAGTGAGCTTCCTGCACTGGTAGCTCAGCATTAACACGCGTCCCCGGGAGTGAGTGAGTGTCACTGCTGCTGCACTCTGGCTGGGACATGTAAGTCGCATACCCCCAGATGCTGTGTGCAGCCACAGATGGCACCGGAAGTCATTTTAGGTGACACCCCAACAAGTATGTTCTATTTAAATACCCCTGTGTTTATTTCATATGTATTAGAATGTATTGCAAAACACATATTTATTTTTAAAAAACTGCTACCCAAAATACACAGTTAAACTCAACAAGAAAACAAACAGTCCAATTTTAAAAATGGGCAAAGATCTCAATAACCACCTCAGCAAAGAAGATCTACAGATGGCAAATAAGCAGATGAAAAAGAATGCTCTGAATCATCTGTCATTAGAGGATTACAGATCAAAACAGCAGCGAGGCACTGCAGCACACCTGTTAGAATGGTTAGGCTCGGGAACGCTGACGACGCCAGGTGCTGGCAAGGACGCGGAGCAGCAGGAACCCCCAGTTACTGCCCGTGGGAAGGCAGACGGTGCAGCCACGTTGGTGGCTTCTTCTAAGACTAAATATAGCCCTGTGACCAGCAAGCATGCTCCTTGGTACTTACACCAAGGAGCTGAAAGCTTGTGTCCACAAGATCTGCACATGGATGTTCAAAGCGGCTTTATTCATCGTCTCCAAAAACTGGAAACAACCAAGATGTCTTTCAGTGGGTGAGTAGATAGATAAATTGTGGTTCATCCATACAATGGAATATTACTTGGCAATAAAAAGAAATGAACTAGCAAGAAAGCAAGAATGAATAAGCAAGAAAGACATGGCGGAATCTTAAATGCACTTTGCTAACTGAAAGAGCTGATCTGAAAGGATGCCTCCTGTGTGATTCTGACTCTGACAGTCTGGAAAAGGCAACATAGAGACAGTAAAATGGTCAGTCAATGCCAGGGTTCAGGAGTGGGGAGGGGCGAGCAGGTAGAAGAGAGGAATCTGAGGGCAGCAGAGCCCTTCTCTGTGATACATGGTGGGCACGTCAGAACCCATACAACTGCACAAAAATGAGCCTCAATGTACAGTATGAAATTTGGTTAATACTAATGTTGCAATATTGGTCCCTGAGTGTAATGTAACACACTAATCCAAGGTGTTACTAAAATGAGAAACTGTGTATGGGAGGAGGGTATATGGAAACTTCCTGCACCAGCTGATCAATTTTTCTGAAAATGTGAAACTGTAAAAAAATAAAAAATGGTAATTAAAAAAGAGACCCTCAGAGTCGCTGCTCAGTAAAGAAATGTTGTCTCTTGTTACTATGAGCGGCCGGTGTGAGCCAGGCACAGCGTGAGCCCTGGAGGTCAGTCCGGCATCAGAAACAGCGATCTGCGCGGCCCGGGGGCTGCAGGTGGCCTAGTCCGCCGCCAGGTGGCGCTCCTCCCCTCCCCCCACTCTCTCTTGTCGTCTTCATCTCCTTCTGTTCCCGCCTCTTCCTGCTTCCCTCTCTGTGCACCGTCATCCCTGGGTCTAGCCACAGGGTGATGGATCCCAGCCTTGCTGTTTCTGGCGCGGCCGCACCTTGGCCGGAGCGGGGCAGAGAGCCCAGGTGCGCTGGGCTGGGGATTAACCTTTGGGGTCTCGGCCCTGGACGTTGATGGGCCAGGGCGCGGAGTAAGCAGGCCAGCCTGCTCCCAGGGGAGGCGGCCCACCCGGGACCCCCACCCCACCCCAGGGCCCCTCCTCCGCCTGCATCTGCTCCGGCCTGGGGTTCCTCTCCCTGCTCCCCCCTGTAGTCCAGTCTGGCGCCCCCCACCCAGAGAGTGTCCAGACTGCAGCTCACTCGCTGCGACACCCTGCTCCCCCTCCCCCCCAGTGCCCGGCCCTGGATGGGCCGCACCCCTGCTGGTCCTTGCTGCCTCCTACGAATCTCCCCACCAGGGGAGAGGGATTGAAACATCGAAAACCAGACAAGGCATTAATGCAGTGATGGTTCTCTGTCCCTATTACTAGGATAATATGAACATTTTACTCAGAGTTTTGATGTTTTGCCTGTTCCTCCTTTAGCATCTTTAGGGCCGAATCTGCTATTTTATATAGTTTTAAGAGAGTGAACATTCTATCTCCATCAGTTAGTAAGTAGCCCTGGGCATAGAGTCTAAAATCTGCATTCTGTTCTCAGCACCATTCTAGCTTTCTAGTAGCTACAGTCCCCATGTTCCTCAGTTTCTCCGCTAACTTTACTAGTTGCAGGGGTGAAAGAGGCTGTTAGAGAGGGTGGTGTGGTGCCTGGTATGCAGTGAGCGTGCAGTGAACCGTAAGAAGACAGGTGACAGACAGACGGATAGGCAGCTGGGTGGATGGGTAGGTGGGACAACAGCCCCTTCCATGGTTGCACCAGGACTTGTGTGTGATCTTTCCTTCTTTCCTCTGGTGACAAACTGGGTCCTCCCGCTGTCCCACTCCGCCACTGCTGCTGGGAGTGCCCGGCATCCTCACGGAGCCTCCCTCTCCTTATCCAAGACACTGTCCCTCACACATCACTTTCTTCCTCGTTTGAACAGTGTCCGAATAACATCATCCCTTCCTTCAGATCAGCTGGTCATACTTTTTGAAGCCGCGTGCTCGGTGGCACCCCAGCTTACCCCTCACCCCAGTCAGCTCCTGGCTTGTCCTCACATCCTCCCTGCCATGTGGGTCTCTGCCCATTTTCCTGGTGACTGAGTGCTTCTTGAGAGAGTCATGAGACAAGGCTGACTGGTGTTACTACAGTTCTAGCTTTAGCCGTAGTAATCATTTTGTCTCTCTGCTTACTATAAATTATTGCTATTTCCATCATGATACTCAATTTTCTTAGGTGCCAAACTCAGTCAGTGAATTCCTGGAGCGACTCCAGGCAGTTTCAGCTTCTGGCAGATTTCAGAGTCTAGTTCAGGTTGGACTCTGAATTCAAACAACTCTGGAGTGAACTCACATTCACATCCCCAGATACTAGTTTCTTAAAAATGATACAAAAGGCATGAAACAACTGATAGTTTGGACTTCAAACAATAAAAACTTATACTATTCAAAGAACACTGTTTTCCAAGTAAAAAGGCAAGCCACGTACCAGGAGAAAGTGTTGCAAAACATATCTGGCGAAGAAATTGTATTTGGAATGTATAAATAACCATACAACTCAAAAGCAAGATGACAAACAGTCCAGTTAAAAATGGGCAAAAGATCTGACAATACACGGATAGCAAACAAGCACATGTCAAGGTGCTCAGCAGCAGCGGTTATCCACGAAAGGCTCGTCAAAGCCACGAGCCTCCGCTACACACCCACTGCAAAGCCTGCAGTTTAGAAGGCTGGCCATACCGAGTGGGGTGAGGAAGTGGACCACCTGGAATGCCACGCACACAGGTCCATGCACGTGGGTGGCATATAAACTAGGGGAAAGGCGAAGATGCTGATGAACACCCTACTTGTATAAGTATCATCTTGAAGTTCCCAGGGTTTCCTGAACGGAACAGCGTACGTAACTTTCAAATTAGTAAAGGCGAAAAAGTAGAATAAGAAAAAAATGTCAGTCCAAGAGAGGGCAAAAGAGAGAAGTGACCGTAGATGATTTGGGGCAAATTGAAAGCAAAAAATAAAACAACAGGCACAAATTGTTCACACTGTATTTAAAAAATCAACTGCAGAAGGCAAGTACAAGAGTGTCCATTTAGGAAACAAAAGAAAAACAAAACAACGTGACAGAGCCCCGAGTCTGTCGACAGTGGCCTTGGAGGAGTACTCTGTGGCAGAGTCGCACAATGAAATCCTGCCTAACGGAGAAGATAAACGAGCCCAGCTGCGGGCACCTGGTCTTTGAACCTTACAAACACAATATTGAGCAAAGAAGCAGGAAGCAGAAGAATTTGGAAGAACTTTAAGAAAAGGTTCCAAAGCTGGACCAACTGACAAATACTTCATTCATTTAAAGACGTCTGAATAGACTGTTCAACCATAAAGGCAAGGTGATGACTGCTGTGGTATCAGGAGGGCAAGTGTCTCCAGGGGAGCGTTCGCAGGGAGGCTCACATAAGGGGCTTCCAGGGTGTTGGTCCTGTTTTCTAGCTGTGCCCTGTGTGGTGGTTCTGGGGAGCACGTTTTATGCCCCCTGTTTTTATGTCTGATAGTTATCATCTGAAAAATGAAAAGGGAGAAATGAGCAGCTCTCCGTGGAACCCTCTGAGACATCTCGGATGAGTCTAGGAGACCCACCTACATGCAACTTACCAAGACCGAATCAAGAAGAAACAGCACTGAATAAACCAATAGAATAAGGAGATTGAAACAATAATCCCAAACCTCCCGCCAAAGAAAAACCCAGGACTAGATGGTTTCATTGGTAAATTCTACCCAACATTTAAAGAAGAGTTAACACCAGTTCTCCTCAAACTCAAAAAACTGAAGAGCGGAAGCACTCCCGAACTTCAGTTCAGGAGGCCAGAATTACCCTGGTGCTGGAGCCAAATGAGGACAATACAAGAAACCTGCAGGCCAGTATCCCAGATGAACACCGGTATGAACATTTTAAACAGGATACTAGCAGACTGAACTCAACAGCACGCTAAAAGCATCGTACACTGTGATCAAGTGGAATTGATCTCTGGAAAGCAACGAAAGACAATAAATGTGATACACCATATTAATAGGATGAAAGACAGGAATTATATGATCGTTTCAATAGATGCAGAAAACGCATCTGATGTAATTCAACATCCTTTCATGATAAAAAACTCTCAGTAAATTGAGTATAGAAAGACGGCACCTCAACATAATAAAGCCATGTATGACAGAACGATCATTAACACCATACTCAGTGGTGAAATGTTCAAAGCTTTCCCAGGATGACCAGGAACAAGAAGAGGGTGCCCACTCTCACTCCTGTTCGGCATTACACTGGAAAGTCCTAGCCAGAGCAATCAGGCAAGAAAACAAAAAGTATCCAAATCAGAAGAGAAGTAAAATTGCCTCTGCAGGTGATAAGATGCTATGTACCTTGTGTATGTGTGCACACACGGTGAGAAAAGAACCCTGTGAAACCACATGGCACACGGTGAGTCATCGGGACAGCTGTCTTTTATGGATAAGTGACAGTCTTGTCACTGATCATATCTGCTTCTTTGCTTGAGCTAAGAAACCTGGACTTTTATTATTATTTTTGTACCTACATAGGATTTTATTAGTTTATGTGCTTCCTCACTTTTTCTGTTGTCCCCCATCATCCTGATTTCCTCATCTCTTTGTTTTACCACGATAGAAATTGCTTCAAGTCCTTTTCAGAACAAAGTAAGGTATACATTCAAAAACACATCATTGCCATCCAAATAGATTTGTAATGACTGAAGATTCTTATGCTCTGCCTCCAATCTATTTTCTCGGCCTTATCCATATAAGCCTGTAAACCCTAATATGCATATGGAGATAGCTGTGTTTTGTCTAAAATTATGTAGACTTCTGCTTTGATGCAACTAGGTGCATGGGATTAGCAAGTAAGCAGATTTGTTTTGGGTCTTGGATTTACTTACAGGCTATGTAGCCTTAAGCAAATTACTTAACCCCTCTCAAACTTATCTGTAAAATAGTACGTTGCAGGAATGTTGCAAAAATTAGAAGCATTTTATGTAAAGCACTAAAATGTTCTTAGAAGTTAAAAAACGGCCAATGTTAGTAATCGCTGAATCCCATTTGCCATCCACTGGCTGGCATTGGAGGCTGGACAACCTGATCTTGTTCTTTTTACGTGATTGTCTAGTTTTTCTTCCCTCTTCCCCAGGAACTGGATGTACGTAAAGCACCTGATAGATATGACTCATAATTTTAGTTTTTTCCTTCTTTACTCTGTTGCCTCCATCTAGAAAGTCCTTTCTCAGCATCTCGGTTGGAATGCAACCATTTACTAAGTTTCAGTTGAGAAGATCTTTCCTAGATATTTCTCTAATTAGTCTTGTCCTTCTGAGGGTTCTCTGTGGATTTTTAAAACCTGTCATATTTTGGCTAGTTTGTGTCTTGTCCATGGTTCCAAGTTTTCTGGGGGGACAGATTTTTTTGGTTAAGCTTTACATTCCCTTATGGCGCCTTGCATGTACTTGGTGGTAATTACTCACTGCTCTTTACTTAATTTTTCTGAGGCTATGAAGATTACGTTAGACTACTTTATTTCCGTTTACCTGACCTAACGCTGCTGTCATGTTCCCGTTGGAATTCTGTGGCGGTTAGCATGGGCAACAATAAAAGATCAACACATTTGAAACTGTGCATTTTAATGTATCACGTTTGATGACAGGTACATTCCTGACTTCTGGGTGTATCTTCCTCGGTCCAAGATGCATGTTTGGATAAATCCTAGGCTCCCGACCTTTTGCCACTACAGTTTGCGCAGTTTGCTCCAAGGCCTTCATAAACCGACATGGGAATATGGTGTTTTCCTGGAATTAGATGAGCACATATAAATACATGAACACCCGGCACATACAGAACCATTGGATGGCTTTTTTACCCGACCTCCACCTGGAAAGTTCCTTCTCACCATTTCTGCCCGTTAAAAGGGCACCTTTCCTGCCTGTTTTCCCGATGGCCTTACCAGTTGGGTGACTCCGGCTGCCCCACAACCAAGG